TTTTTCAACGTTTATTTATTTTTGGGACAGAGAGAGACAGAGCATGAACGGGGAAGGGGCAGAGAGAGAGGGAGACACAGAATCGGAAACAGGCTCCAGGCTCTGAGCCATCAGCCCAGAGCCTGACGCGGGGCTCGAACTCACGGACCGCGAGATCGTGACCTGGCTGAAGTCGGACGCTTAACCGACTGCGCCACCCAGGCGCCCCTGCTTTGTTCTGTTTTAATGTTATGATGGTAATTCCAACTATTTTCTTTGTCTTTTTAGATATTCCTCTTCGTCAAGTTATAGCTGAGGAATGTGTTGCTTTTATGTTAAACTGGAGGGAAAATGAATACCTTACACTGCAAGTTCCCGCATTTCTGCTTCAGAGTAATCCATATGTAAAGGTAATTTGTGTTTAATCTAAAAGGATTATTAGGATGAGATCATTGTACCTGTTTCTTTAGATCTATACTAAGGGAACTTGTCCAATTTCTATGATACAGTGGAAGATGGGACAAATGTTTGTTGGTGTGTGGTTAAAAGTATAGTTTTGAGATAATTTGGGTGCTTGGGTTTGCCCTCTGATATTTTTTTCAATATCCAGTAGTTCATGAGAATGCAAACAAAAATTAGTTAACGGACATTTTGGTATAACCGTAAGCTAGTGAGAGGTTAGTTCTCTTTTCTTGTTTTGATCAGTAAAATCAAACTCTAGTGTTAACCTCTGGCATACATGGGTGTACCTGCAAGTGAGGGGTGCACTTCCAGCTTTTTTCCATCTGAGCACCTGACCCTTCCTTAGAGCTTATTTCCTCCTCTCGATTTGTGCGTGGTCCTTGGTCATGTAAATGTTTGTTAGTAATTACACCCAAATGAAAGAATCCATTCAGTGAATTGGTGGTGAGTTGTTTAGTCACCTTTCTTAATTATATCTCTCTTGTGCAACTGAAAATGTTTCTGGATGGAGAAAATAAAAACAGAAACTTGAATTTTCCCCTAAGACTGTGTTTGTCATGTGTTAATATTATGTGTACCTGAACAAGCAGTGGACTTTTCTCCCTTTCTGGTCTTCAGTTAAAACAAAACAAAACAAACAAAAAACAAAAAAAACCATGTAGTGGTTTAACATTTCTTTGTGTGTACGTTTGGTTTTTCAGATTTCCTTATTGCTTGTATGCTTTATGTTTATCTCCTCTTACCTTTAGTACATAGTCTCTTCAGTCAGTGGTTATCTGAGAACTCTTGCAAGACTCCCTGTTTTACATTTGTCTTGGTTATTTGTTTTTTCCTCCTAATTTCCTATATGTCCTTTAAAAAACTGAGATCATTTCATTTCAGCCCTTTGAAGGTTTGCTGATTTCTTTTGTGTTTTTACTCCTTTTTGTCTTCTCTATAATTGTTCACAAAATTTATCCCATAACTTGAATCATCCTTCTCTTTGGAATTTTAGACATTGGATTAGATCTGTTTTTTCACTGAATTTTCTAAAATGTGAGTTCCTCCTATCTGGGATACTTGTCTGATTATGCCCAGTAGTCTTGGTCTTTGCTGAACCCTCAGATGAAAGAACCATTTTGTTCCAAGACAGTAATTTCCACTTAGGATTGTAGCTTGTTGTTCAGCATTAGGACCGTACAGTAGCTTTTCTTTGCTTTTCTCAGCAATGAATTCTGTGGAACTGTGCACCAGCAGGGCTGGGTGCGTGTTTCAGGGCCTGCAGTGTGGAAGGGTACGAGATACTGTGCTGGAAGTTGCCTGAACTTGGGCTGGGTTATGTCACTGCTTCCTGTAGCCCCCTGATCTCGCCCAAAAGGAGGAAAGATATGTGGTGACCTTGCTGAAGAGTCATTGAAGTGTTTCATCATCTTATCTGGTTAGGGTTTATGTGTCCCCTTTCCTAGTTTGGCCCTGTGCTCCCTTGTTTATGTCAGGGAAAAAGGAATCAGAGAAAGAGGTCTAGAGTAAGGGATCGTGTTTTGGAAATGCTATAATTTGGAGCAATTTCCAAACTTGGAATTTGGCGTGGAATACATATACATATGCATAGGGAAAAGTTTAGAAGGATGTTAACAGTTACCATCTCTGGATAGTGGAATAGTAGGTGGTTTTAATCAGTTTATTTTCCATTTTATTTTCTTACTTATTTGAATATTCTGTAATCACAAAAGGAAAGGGAAAAATCTTAAACATGTAGCTAAAATATGACCTTTTGAAATAACACAGAACTGTATAGTCTCCCCTTTGGATCAGGATAGGAGGCAGTGTAGCTAGCATATCGGAAAATGCACAGGATTTACGGAGCTCGGTGGTAATAGTAGTAATAGCATCAGATAAAGACCAAAGTTTGTAATGTAGCCTCCAAGGCCTTTTAAGGTGCAGGTGCTTCTTCCTCTGTTTGCTCTCTCTTCCTCCTTGTCCTGCTGTTCTGTGCTCGTGGTTCCACATTACTCACAGCTCTCTATGCAGGATGCTTTCTCTACTTCTGCACTTGAGCATGTGCTGTGAATCACTTCGCCGGGATGCCCTTCCCACTTGTGCCTGTTGGTGTGGTTTCTTGGAAGCTTAGCCTTATTTCTTTCTCTGCAAAGGAGTAAATCACTTTCTCCTTTGTTACCTTTGAACTGTGTTACTAAGTAGTCCTGCTACTTTTGGGGAGGCATATATTTTTGTTGCACTTACACTATGTAATAAGTTATTTTTCACTTGTCTTCTTATAGAACAGTGAGCTTCTTGAGGACAGTTACTTTTTATATTCTCAGTGCTTTATTTGATGTCCACACACAGTAGATGCTTAAGAGTGTTTGTGGAATTCAGTTGACTTCGAGGGGCCTAAGACTTTTTTCTTTTCTTTTCTTTTTTTTAAAGTAATCTCTATACCCAGTGTGGGGCTCAAACTCAAGGACCCTGAGATCAAGTCATAGGTTTTTTTCTGAGCTGGCCAGATGCCCCTGGGGCCTAAAACTTCTGAAAATTCTTACTTTTAAGTAAATTAGTGCAGTGACCTCAACCAAGCATGTGATTCTTAACAACAGAAAATGAATGGAGACAAGGAGCTACTCTAGCCCTGTATTGCACTACAGTAAATAGCTGCATATATGGTGGTCTTAGTTGATGGAGCAGACTTGTATTCAATAGGCATGCAAGATGAAATGTTTTTTTTTTTTTAATTTTCTTGTGGTTTTTTTTTTTAATGTTTATTTATTTTAGAGACAGAGAGAGCACCAATGGGGGAGGGGCAGAGAGAGCCGGAGACAGAATCTGAAGCAGGCTGCAGCTCTGAGCTGTCAGCACAGAAAACACATTCCCATAGCACAGCTAGGGTTTTCACATTGTTTTTACTACCTTTAGGAAGCACAAGTGTTATAAATTTTCTTAGGTGTGATCATGGAGTTATGGTTATGCAGGAGAATCTTCTAGCTCTTAGAAGATACATAGTAAAGTCTTTAGGGATGAAGTGTGGTGTCTGCGGCTTATTAGTTAACAAAGAGCATATGTAGGTATATAAAGTAAATACAGTAGAATATTCACAGTAAGTCCAATATACAGATATTACTGAATTCTTCAAGTTTTCCATGTTTGTAATTTTTTATTATAAAAAATAAGGAAAAGTATCAGTTTTCATCTTTGTCATAATACTGCTGCCTCCTTAAAGAAGTTACCTGAGGTGATGGGGACCTCCTTATGAATGTTTTCTAGGTCCAGTTAGGGATCTGGGCTTTCCTGATGGACTTGAAATGATCTTTGCCGTTCACTGTTGAAAAGAGCAATGATGTATAAGAGTTAATATGAACAAAAGATAGAGGGGTCCTCTTTTGTTTGAATTTACAGAGAGAAACACTGAATTTGACATTAGCCTGTTTTTTTCCTCTGCATTTTGGGCCTGTGTTTTCTCTGCCTTTTGCTTTTAGCCCTTCCACTCTTTTATTTGTGTGTTCTTCCAGCATTTTTGGTCCTTTTGAAGTCGCCTTTATTCAGATCATTCACTTTCAGGAAGCTGTCCTTCCTTCCTTCTTCCTCACATCAGTAACTCCATCTCCAATTGCTCCCATTTTTTTTTTAGAGAAAGGTGGTTCTACATCTTATTCCCTTATCCTGCCAACTTCAGTTTCCAGATTTCTCCCCTTATTTTTCCATTAAAAAAGAATTTTTTAAATTTATTTTTATTAAAAAATTTTTTTTTTACATTTATTTATTTTTGAGAGAGAGCACAAGTGGGAAAGGGGCAGAGAGAGAATAAGACACAGAATCGGAAGTAAGCTCCAGACTCTGAGCTGTCAGCACAGAGCCTGACGTGGGGCTTGAACTCACAGACTGTGAGATCATCACCCGAGCCCAAGTCAGATGCTTAACTGACTGAGCCACCCAGCTGCACCACCTCCCCCACCACAACTTTTTTTTAAATGATTACAGTGTGTGTAAAGTTAAAGCACTATTTTAATTGCACTTCTGGGCTTTTACCACAGTTAACATTGTGTGTGTATATATACTTCCCATTACATACACCACATACCCTGCCCCCTTCTTAAGTGGGATCATACTATTTACTAGCTAGGTGCCCCTCCCACACACACTCTTAATAAATCACATACCTCTTTGCATTGTCTCAGTTTTGTTCTTATTAGACTATACTTGTTTTTGCCCTGATTAGACTTTTATTGAAGGAAACAGTGAGCTTTATAATATGGCAGAACCAAAGCATCCTCTTCCCCAGTCAGATTCCAGTCTGTTAGACAGTGAACTCTAAATTCCTCCGTGGTTGAATGGAAGGTATAGCATAACATACGTGTTGGTATGTTTGGGTCACTATCCTTTCTTTAAGTGCACCTTAAAATAGAACTTACACGTATATTACAGATTATCTTTTGTGTATTTTCTGTTTTTCGTGTTACAGCTTGGACAGCTTTTAGCAGCTACATGCAAAGAACTTCCAGGCCCTAAAGAAAGTAGACGGACTGCTAAAGACCTTTGGGAAGTTGTTGTTCAGATCTGTAGTGTATCCAGTCAACACAAACGAGGAAATGATGGCAGAGTTAGTTTAATAAAGCAGAGGGAATCTACATTAGGTATAATGTATCGGTACGTTTCTATCAGTTTATTTTTTGTACTCAGTTTGTACTGTTTCAAGAACATCTACCATTATCCTTGTATATCCTAAAGATGGACAGTGTAAGAGTTCTCTGGTGCTGATCTCTGATGGACTAACATGGCCACCTTTGGAAATACCTCTTATTTATGTGTTATTTTAAGAGATTGTTAACCATTTAATATCTACTGGAGTTCAAAGTCGTTGATGTCTATGATTGCATAGTACTGAAGAAGTCATATGTGATTAAAACAGAAGAAATTGTATTAGGTTATTATGACAATAGAATGTTATACTCTTTCATGCATGCAGAATTGGAGAGTTAGGTGTAAACCTTCACCTATAATTTACTTTCTTTTTGATTTCTGATAGTAAATACGTACAAAATTTGTTTTTTGTAGGAGTGAACTACTTTCTTTTATCAAAAAATTACGGGTAAGTTTCATTAAAAGTTATCTAATTCTCATTTTTGTAAAATATGACCGAAAATATTGAGTGCTTAAATGCTGGTTGTTTAAGTGCTCTCTCTGTATGATGTGCTCATTATCTTCAGTGATCATTTCTGAAGATGGGATAGTCTGAATGGAGAGGTTTATTTTGCATTTATCTTAACATGTGTTAGTGAATAATTAGTTGTTTTTTTTTTTTTTTTAAGTTTGTTTTGAGAGAGACCGAGACTGCATGAGTAGGGGAGGGGCAGAGAGAGAGGGAGACAGAATCCCAAGCATGCTCTGCACTGTGAGAGCAGAGCCTGACACGGGGCTCAAACTCATGAAACAGTGAGATCATGACCTGAGCTGAAACCAAGAGTCAGACGCTTGACTGAGGCACCTAGGTGCCCCAAAGGAGGTATTTTTTTAATTTTAAGGAAGTTTTCATAATAGGGCAGGATGTGTGAAGCCTAGCCTTAATTTTTGATGATAGGATTAATGTTACACTTATTTACTGACATAACCTAGATTCCATCCTTTAAGTATTATTTTAAGGAATAAAAATTTGATTTTTTTAGAGCTAGCTGGAAGTACTAATTGGAAAGAGATGTATTTACTCAATTTCAAAAGTCATTTGAGGAGTTGAGCACCATAAGCCAGTCACCTAAATATGCTAATTTTTGTGTGTGTGCTGTGACTTCTTTCATGAGATTAAAAATAAAGTTGACCTGTAGTGTGCGCTTTAAACTAAAGCAGATGGTAGATTTCAAAAGTGAAAGAATCTTTTTTTAAATGTCTTTTTGAGAGAGTGAGTGCGTGTGCATGCTGGCTAAGTGGGGGAGAGGCAGAGAGGGAGACAGAATCTGAAGCAGGCTCTGTGCTGACAGCACAGAGCCTGATACAGGGCTCGAACTTCTGAACCGTGAGATCAAGACCTGAGCTGAAGTTGGACTTTTAACTGACTGAGCCACCCAGGCTCCCTAGAGTCTTTTGACAGAAAGTCTTTTGACTTTGTGGGGGAGCACCTGGAGGGGCTCGGTTGGTTAAGCATTTAACTTTGGCTCAGGTTCCGGAGCCTACTTCCAGATTCTGTGTCTCCCCCTCTCTCTGCCCCACTGCCGCTCACACTGTCTCTCTCAAAAATAAACATTAAAAAAAAAAAAACAAAACCCTTGGTATCCCTGAGGTTGACAGGAGGAATGTTAAATATATATAATATTTAATGATTCTGTATTTTTTTCTCATAGGAACCTTTGGTTTTGACTATTATTTTATCACTCTTTGTGAAACTTCACAATGTTCGGGTCAGTATTTCATAATTTCATTAAAAAAATCTTCGAAAGAAATTTCCTTTAAAAAAAAATCAACTTAAAAATCACTTTTTTTTTTTTTTTTTTTTTTTTTTTTTTTTTTTTTTTTTTTTTTTTTTAGGAGGACATTGTGAACGATATTACAGCTGAACACATTTCTATTTGGCCATCCTCCATCCCGAAGTAAGAAGTATTATAGCTTGAATTTATTTTTTATGTATTTAGAGATCATCCTGATACAGATAATCTTGAATAATTTCACTAAAAGGCTGCAATCTATAAGGATTCTACAGCCAACTTCATTTCTCTGTTGCAGTAATTATTTCTTAAAAATGAATAAGGCATAACTCTAAGAGCTAAGGTACACCAGCCTTAAGTTGAACAAAAGATCCCTAAGTGGTCCTGATGACTTGTCAGTGGGTAGAGTTAGAGCATCGAGGCAAAAACGATCTTCTGTTAGGGTTCCTTCATCTTACCTCTTTTATAAATATCTATTTGAAAAGGGCATCAATAAAAAAAGTTTATTTTGAGAGATAGTGTGCATGTGGGGGAGGGACAGAGAGCAGGGAGAATCCCAAGCAGGCTCTGTGCTGTCAGCACAGGTCAGTGTGGAGCCTGATGCAGGATTGGTGAACTGTGAGGTCATGACTTGAGCCAAAACCAGGAGTCGGCTATTTAACCCAGGCGTCCCGAAAATGACTTCTTTATAATTATTCTTTGTAGGTCTCTTCTAACACTGTGACTGTCAGAGGGTCCCAACCCCTTTTAGTTACTAAGAAGTTCTTGGATACTTTAAGAAATATTCCCTCTTTCTTTCATCTCCTGAAAAGCACAGTAATATGGGGAGAAGAAAACGTTCTTTTTCTGGAAGAAGAAACCATTCACATATTTCTTTTCCTACACATAGCAACTTCTCATTCAAGAGTCCCATTTCTTCCCTCCTAAAAGTTATTTTTCCTATCCTCCCTACCCCCAATTTTTTTTTTT